CAGGATCTATAACCATAAGCAAAGGCTAACAAAACATACATATTACAGAAATAAATACATACAGGTGCATCAATACTAGTATAATACAAAGTTCTTTCTCTGTCCCTATATCCCTAGTGACTAGCGACCCGCTAGGCTACGGTGCAATGCTGATACTAAATACATTACAGAAAACTGTGAACGTTGTATATAAAAAATAGCCCCGCTCCGGCTTCACAGGGTATAAAATATAAAGCCTATGTCACGCACTGAATTATTAAAATCGATCCAGTAGTTTGATTTATTCATTACTGCCAGTGCCCACGCGTTAAATTTGGAGTAAACAATTCCCTTTCCCATGAAAATTTCCTGCTTTCTTTGGAATATCTAAATTCTACACTATATTTTAGTTCTTTACTTTTACATTTTCCTATTTATTTTATTTTACAACAAATTATATATTACAGAATGTCGTTATATACAAAGTTCACAGCTTTCTTGTCATTAGACAATACAAAGATGTTTCTGTTATTGAAAACAGTCAACAAAAATCTAATTCTTCAACGTTGAGGGTTTGACTCTCCGATTTATTTATAGTCATTGCAAAGATGTCTTTACCGGCAACTGTAAACGTTCAAATTGGAAGGTAAATCAGATGGTATCAGAGATTCGGAAATCAATACATCTTTTCGGTAACACATCCTATGAGTACTGTGCACTCTATTATGAAAGTTTTCAGTGATTTTACCAGAAAACGCTGCCATTAAGTTTAGGTGCACCCAGGTTTCTTAATAAAATAACAGGACAACCTACTTTCAACACCATTTTGTGAAGAGGGAGTCCAGACGGGTTCAAACAGCTTAAAAATTCTGTAGGAAAATGAACAGCTTCTTCCAAATCGAAAACAGTATCGACCGAGTAATATATTTTCGTCGACGCATCAATCTTTGAAAGAATCAAGTAATTTACTTTATCAACCTGTTCGTTAGTTGGTGACAAAATCGCTCTTTCTTTAAACCAAGATATTGTCTTATAACTTATGTTATCAATGTCAGGATAGACATTGTTTACTAACTCTTGGATGTTGTCTATCAAAACACAAAGGTTTTGTATGTTAATCCTTCCCTAACTTTGTGTTAACTCGTCATTGCCAACTTTGAGCAGCATCCCTGGAAATAGCCTGTTCTCACGTGAAGATGACGAAACCCTCATATTAGTTTTAAGCTCTAATTTATTGACATGTAGCCAAAGGTTGGATCTTTTTAGGGAAGCATTTATTTCATTAGCACGTGTTACTCGAGTCACAACTGGTAGGATTTGACGGAAATCTCCTAAGAACAGAATTGTACATCCACCCATAACGGCAATGCCGGATGACGCAACAGCTAACGCAATTTTTCCGGTAGATCCCTTTTTTTTTTTTAAAGTAGATTGATTAAAATTGTTTTTCCTATACTGCCTGGGGCATCAAGGAAAAGCAATTTCCCTACATTGCATTGAATACTATTTCCTGATCGATGTTTAATCGTGGCTCATCTTGAGCTATATTTTGTAAAAGTCTCGTTTGATCGTATGATGTTTCTCTTGTGTATTCGACACTGTTAGTTAAATCTGAGTTAGTAGTATTAGCTGACATCGGCCCGTAAGCCATTGGTCTTGTGATTTTTCGTGTAACTATCGAGGTCCACCTGTGGGTGATGAAGGTAGTATAACCAACTGCACAATTCCGTTGCGGTGTTCATTCGCCCGTAAAGCATCCTGAAGATGAACGTAATTTTTGGCTCTCAATTTAGTTTGATTATTACGGATGTAGGCCAATCTCTCAGATTCAATTTTCGCATATTGATCTACCAAGTATTTGTTTGTTAACATTCCATATCTAAGTAAAGTGTTGAAATTGTTACGTCTTGTCATTTTACGGTAGCAATAGTAGTTCATATTTACATGACGCTGTTATACGCAGAGGTGGTCAACATGAGAAATATTAATGTAATAACCATTTTATCCACGACATAGCATCAAATGATATTGTAAGCTGTTATAAGACCTGTGTAACTCTGAAAACTACTAAAGTCAGGAGTATCTGCTGGAACACTCTCAATCGCAGTGTATCTGCAATAAAATATATTTGCTGAAATTTGTGATCATCGGGTCGAAGTGGTAGCAAGCTCCCAGCTAAGTGGTACACTTGCCCTTGAATTTAAAATGTAGGCATGAATCACGCTCAACGACTTGCTTACTCTTAAAAGAGGTGATTTGAAATGCCTCATTATAACGGAGTATGTTGCGCATGAATTGTTTGGATTTCTGATGATCACCCGTAAGAAGAGAGTGAAGTGGAGTAGGTGAATGGAGAATTTCACATGCCTTTCGATTCGTTCTTCAATTTCAATGCCAAGCAATGTTCCCACACTACAAACATAGTACCTATTGATACTTTCAGACATTACTTTATAATTTCTGTACAAAACTTCCTCAGTTCTATATGTATGATTACCTATGCACAAATTGCCATATTATTAGTTTGTGCCGCAGTAAAAAATATCTAAATACTTACCATTTAGAAAAAAAAATATTATTTTCTTTAACTGAAATACCTCAAGTTAAACTTCGATTTTAATTTAATTAAAAATACTTAAAAAATAATTTGCTATTCGTGCGACTAAAAACAACAGATAATCAACAATCATCAACAACAAAAGAGCACATTTTTGGACTTACATACTTCACCTTAAATTACGATTTTTGAAAATAATTTCCTAATATTAAATTGATCTAACTCTAAATTGTAACCAAGATCTTAAATTCTAATCCATTAATTATGGTTTCATTTAATCCGATCTTATCTAACCTTATGTACTTATAATTACTTAAATCGCACTTATTTAAAAATTAACCTTCGAATAAAAGATCATTTATATTTTAAAACTACTATCATACAATTATTTATCGTAACTTACTTATAATTACTGATACGTTGTTACACTGAAATGCACGTTTTCATTAAGTACTGTTATTTTCCTCGCTAGAGAGCTACTATCGCTACTAAATTCAAAGTACTATAGGGAGAACCGCGGCCTCCGACGCGCTTTTTACATTACGACGGATAATTATCGTACATATGCGATAATTTCATGCCTACGTACGATGTACGATATGATATCATTATCGTTATACGCAGATTGTACGATAATTTTCATTATGATGCATTAAAAATGCATCTTATTTCTACCCTCGCAGACAATTGGGCGATTTTTTTTTATAGGAAAAAAGAGGAGAAAGCGCGAGCTCTTGGCTCTTACTGCTAGCAAATACTTCTTCCGTCTTTTTGCTCACAACGCCATCTACTGGTTCGTTCAACGAACAAATAATATCGATATTGTGGTTTGATTTCGATTATGTTCAGACTTCACAGACTTTGCATATTTATTGTTCGAATGTTGGCTGTTATTCTTGTTATTGTATTGAGCTAACGTTCTCGCGTTCAAGGTTAAAAATAGTAATTCGAAAAAAACTGTAACTGGAAGCTCAACGCGATTATGCTTCTATATTAAATGATTGTGTTTTTATATTAATGAGAAAGTATGTCAATCGAAAACTTTAATTCATTGGCTATAAACTATATATATACTATCATTTTCACTCTGTAGCTGTAAAGTGAAAAATGAGTTCTTTACGTGAAGATTCCCAAGAAATAAATAATACTACACCAACTGATGTTGATTTGGACATTACACCTCCAAGAAAAATTGCAAAAATTAGCAATAATTAAAATAATTATAGTCATTCTTTTTAAAAGTACGATAATTTCGTTTCATGTACGATAATTCTACGCTACTGGTACGATAATCGCCTCATTTCAAGATGTGAACACTGTTGCTACCGTTTAATGACAAGACGTAACAATTTCAACACTTTACTTAAATATGGAATGTTAACAAACCAATACTTGGTAGATCAATATGCGAAAATTGAATCTGAGAGATTGGCCTACATCCGTAATAATCAAACTAAATAGAGAGCCGAAAAAAACGTTCATTTTTAGGGTGCTTTATAGGCGAATGAACACCGCAACGGCATTGGGCAGTTGGTTATCATTTACAGGTGGAATTCGATAGCTACAAGAAAACTCACAAGATCAACGACTTACGGGCCGATGTCAGCTAATACTACTTGTACTAACTAAGATTTAACTAACAGTGCCGAGTACACAAAAGAAACATCATACGATCAAACGAGACTTTTACAAAATATAGGACCAAGATGAGCCACGATTAAACATCGATCAGAAAAAAGTATTCAATGCAATGAAGGGGAATTGCTTTTCCTTGATGCCCCAGGCGGTATAGGAAACACATTTTTAATCAATCTGCTTTTAAAAAAGGTGGGATCTACCGGAAAAATTTCGTTAGCTGTTGCGTCATCCGGCTATGCCGTTACGCTTTTGGAAGGAGGCCGAACCGCACACTCTACATTCAAGCTCCGGCTAAAAATCGAAACCAATGATAATAACGGCGTCTGTAATGTTTCTAAACAGAGCAATAGAGGAAAATTGATGCGTGACTGCTCATTAATAGCCTGGAACGAAGCTACCATGTCAAACAAGACGTCTGTGGAAGCACTAGATATGACAAAGCGCGATTTGCGCAACAAAAAATTCACCTGTGGGTGGATGTACAATTCTGTTCTAAGGAGATTTCCGTCAAATCCTACCAGTTGTGACTCGAGTAAAACGTGCTGATGAAATAAATACGTCTAAATAAACATGATCCAACCTTTGGCTACATGCCAATTAATTAAGGTAAATTACTTGATTCTTTCAAAGATTGATGCGTCAGCAAAAATATATTACTCGGTCGATACTGTTCTCGATTAGGAAGAAGCTGTTCATTTTCCTACAGAATTTCTAAGCTCTTTGAACCCGTCTGGATTCCCTCCTCACAAAATGGTGTTGAAAGTAGGTTGTCCTGTTATTTTATTAAGAAACCTGAATGCACGTAAACTTTGCAATGGCACGCGTTTGCTGGTAAAATCACTGAAAACTTTCATAATAGAGTGCACAGTACTCACAGGATGTGTTACTGGAAAAGTGTATTGATTCCCCGAATCCCCCTGATACCATCTGATATACCCTTCCAATTTGAACGTTTACAGTTTCCGGTAAAGGTCGGAGGGTCAAACCCTCAACGTTGAAGGTTTAGATTTTGGCGTTGACTGTTTTTCACATGGCCAACTGTATGTCGCTCTTTCAAGAGTAAGCTCTAGAGAAAACATCTTTGTATTGTCTAATGACAATAAAGCTGTGTACTTTGTATATAACGACATTCTGTAATATATTAATTGTTGTAAAAATAAAATAAATAGGTAAAAATATACTTGTATATACATATATATAATATAATAATAATATCAGGCACTCTCAGCGAAACTTTACAAAAACACGTTACATGTATGCATGTACATATATTGTATATGTACATATATCAATACAAGTATAACTAAAAAGTACACAGTAAATAAGTACAAACATATGAAAAGTAATATTAACATACATACATATGCATGCTAATATATATACACATATCTATACATTTGTTGTTTGCAATAATTTTATTTTCGCGTTCCTTTTAAAGAAATGTATATAGATACATACAACACGAATATACATACATGTTGAAAGTAGGTTGTCCTGTAATTTTATTAAGAAACCTGAATGCACGTAAACTTTGCAATGGCACGCGTTTGCTGGTAAAATCACTGAAAACTTTCATAATAGAGTGCACAGTACTCACAGGATGTGTTACTGGAAAAGTGTATTGATTCCCCGAATCCCCCTGATACCATCTGATATACCCTTCCAATTTGAACGTTTACAGTTTCCGGTAAAGGTCGGAGGGTCAAACCCTCAACGTTGAAGGTTTAGATTTTGGCGTTGACTGTTTTTCACATGGCCAACTGTATGTCGCTCTTTCAAGAGTAAGCTCTAGAGAAAACATCTTTGTATTGTCTAATGACAATAAAGCTGTGTACTTTGTATATAACGACATTCTGTAATATATTAATTGTTGTAAAAATAAAATAAATAGGTAAAAATATACTTGTATATACATAT